GAGATACGGGGAAGGGATGGGGAGAGACTGGGAGAGACTGGGAAGGGATTGGGAGAGACTGGGTTAGACTGGGAGGGGATTAGGAGAGACTGGGATAGACTGGGAAGGGATTGGGAGAGACTGGGAGGGGATTGGGAGAGACTGGGAGCAACTGGGAGAGGTGGAGGACGCCATTGAACCTTCTCCAGCTCCACACTGGTGGCACTGGGAGCACTGGGAGGTGGCCCTGGTGGCACCGGGAGGCTGTGGGGACCCATGGGACGTCCCATATGATGTGTGCCATGTCCCCAGGATGGTGACACCAAGGTGGAGAACACCATTGGACCTTCTCCAGCTCCACACTGGTGGCACTGGGAGCACTGGGAGGTGGCCCTGGTGGCACCGGGAGGCTGTGGGGACCCATGGGACGTCCCATATGATGTGTGCCATGTCCCCAGGATGGTGACACCAAGGTGGAGAACACCATTGGACCTTCTCCAGCTCCACACTGGTGGCACTGGGAGCACTGGGAGGTGGCCCTGGTGGCACCGGGAGGCTGTGGGGACCCATGGGACGTCCCATATGATGTGTGCCATGTCCCCAGGATGGTGACACCAAGGTGGAGAACACCATTGGACCTTCTCCAGCTCCACACTGGTGGCACTGGGAGCACTGGGAGGTGGCCCTGGTGGCACTGGGAGGCTGTGGGGACCCATGGGCCGGCCCCTCATGTCCCCAGGATGGTGACACCAAGGTGGAATACCGCGCCTGGAACCCGTTCCGCTCCAAGCTGGCAGCAGCCATCCTGGGGGGCATCGACCAGATCCACATCCAACCCGGAGCCAAGGTCCTCTACTTGGGGGCAGCCTCAGGGACAACCGTGTCCCATGTCTCCGACATCGTGGGGCCGGTGAGGACCACGGGGACATCACTGGGGAGTGGTGGGACACGTAGATGGGGGTGAAACCCCCTGGAGATAGTCTTGAGGTGGCATCTCAAGGTGCTTCAGGGGGTTCTTGAGGTGCTTTAGGGTCCTTGAGGTGCTTTAGGGTCCTTGAGCTGCTTCGGGGCCTTTGTTCTCCACCTTGAGGACCCCATTGATGTTCTATGGGTGATGGCACCATGTCCATGTTGATGCTGAGGATCCCATTGATGTCCTATGGGTGATGGCACCATGTCCATGGAGATGCTGAGGACCCCATTGATGTCCTATGGGCGATGGCACCACGTCCATGGAGCTGCTGAGGACCCCTTTGGTGTCCTATGGGTGATGGCACCATGTCCATGGAGATGCTGAGGATCCCATTGATGTCCTATGGGTGATGGCACCATGTCCATGGAGATGCTGAGGACCCCATTGATGTCCTATGGGCGATGGCACCATGTCCATGGAGATGCTGAGGACCCCATTGGTGTCCTATGGGTGACGGCACCACCCATGGGTGTCCTCCCTGTCTCCAGGAGGGGCTGGTTTACGCTGTGGAGTTCTCCCATCGCTCCGGTCGGGATCTCATCAACGTGGCCAAGAAACGAACCAACGTCATCCCGGTCATCGAGGACGCCCGGCACCCGCACAAGTACCGCATGCTGATTGGTGCGTGGGGCCCTGGGGGGTGGGGCTTCCGGGGGGGACAGCCTCCAGGGGGGCCAAGATGCTCCAGGAGAAGGTCTTGGGGGGCTTCAAGGTGCTTTGGAGGCTTGGGAAAAGATCTGGAGGCTCCTTGTAGGATCTCAAGGGGGTTCTTGAGGTGGTTTTGGGGTCCTGGGGTAGATCTAGAGGTCATTTTGGAGTCCTAGAGGAGACTTTTGGGGTCTCCAGATGGTTCTGGAGAAGGTTTTGGGGGTCTTCAAGGTGCTTTAGAGGGTTGGGAGAAGGTCTGGAGGCTCCTTGAGGTATCTCAAGGGGGTTCCTGAGGTGGTTTTGGGGTCTTAAAGATGAGTTTTGGGGTCTCCAGAAGGTTCTGGAGAAGGTTTTGGGGGTCTTCAGGGGGCTTTTGAGGTCTGGGTAGAAGGTTCTGAGGTGGTTTTGGGGTCCTGGAGTGGTTCCTGAGGTGGTTTTGGGGTCCTGGAAGAAGGTTCTGGGTCCTAAAGAATGTTCTGGAGAAGGTTTTGGGGGTCTTCAAGGTGCTTTGGAGGGTTGGGAGAACATCCGGAGGCACCTTAATGTATCTCAAGGGGGGTTTAAGGGTGGTTTGAGGGTCTTAAGGTGGATCTAGGGGTGATTTTGGGGTCCTAAGGATGAGTTTTGGCATCTCAAGAAGGTTTTGAGGGTCTTCAGGGTGCTTCGAAGGTCTGGGAGAAGTCTGGAGGCACCTTGAGGGATCTCGGGGGGGTTCCTGAGGTGGTTTTGGGGTCCTGGGGTGGTTCCTGTAGGAGGCTTGATCCCTCCATGGTGTCCGTGTCCACAGGGATGGTGGATGTCATCTTCGCGGACGTGGCGCAGCCGGACCAGACGCGCATCGTGGCGCTGAACGCGCAGCACTTCCTGCGCCGCGGCGGCCACTTCCTCATCTCCATCAAGGTAACACCAGCACGCACCAGTACGCACCAGTACACACCAGTACACACCAGTACCCGGCACTGGGAATCAGCGTTGAGCAGTAATGGGGTGATAGACACCAGTAACGGGGCACTGGGGACCACTAAGGACCAGTGATGGGATACTGGGAACCACTAAGGACCAGTAGTGGGATACTGGGGACCGCTAAGGACCAGTGATGGGATACTGGGGACCACTAAGGACCAGTAACGAGTCCCTGGGAACCAGTAACAGGCCACTGGAAACCAGTAAACCCCAGTATGGGGTTGCTGCCCCCCAGTTCCTCCCAGTATGGAGTCGAGGTCCCCCAGCAGGGGGTGCTCTCCTCCA